TTTTGCAACTCAAAAAAAACCACGCAAATCTAAAACTTCTTGAATTCAAGCATTTTTTGAGAAAACTGCCAACATTTCCCCATCCATGGTTCACTGTCTAAAAAGGCCATTTATTTCTGTCTGGAATGATGTACAAATGAGCGTTCTTGCTCATTTTGCCTCCGAGATATGAGCAAAAACGGTCCGGAAAACATGAAATTTTGCCATAATCTTGAACCTAAGTGTTTGATATTCAAATTTCGCTTTCTGGGCCAAAACTATTCGAATTTCCTCACTCACGTTATTACGGCTGAATCGAGTTTTCAATTCTCTATCCAACGATGCCAAAACGAATCCTGTGGCTCGAATGGTTCTTGAGAAACTTCGAATAAAGGCCATTTAGTTATCTCTGGAATGATATAAAAACGAGCGTTCTTGCTCATTTTGCTTCCGAGAAACATGCAAAACGGGACGAAAAACATGAAATTTTGCAATAATCTTGCGCCACCCTCGCACAAAAATACGATCATTCTTGTAATTTCATAGAGAACAAAAAGAAGACTGCATTTTTTCTACATAACCCCCCCCCCTGACTTTAAAACTGGATCCGCCCCTGAACTTACCAAATCCACCATTACCTTGGGCTTAGGAGATTGTGGTGATGCCTCTCGGCTATCATCCAAAAATTCCATTCGTGAATTGGGCGGCAACGCAAACTCATCCATCAAAAACGACTTTTCCAATCTCCAATTGTAAGCGGAGAAGACCATAAAAGATGCCACCTCTTTCACTCTTGCTAGCTCTGACTTGGAGGCGCCTCTCAATAGAACCGTGGCGCCAAGACTGGGGTTTACCAGACCTTCGAAGAGCATTAACGTTTTACCTCCATCTAAACAAAAATTAATTAATTCATTGCCTTTTAAAGCACCGATCAGGGAAACAATACCTTTATTTCTGTTGAAAGTTTTCAAGTAAAACCTGGCGCAAGTTCCCAACTTTGGCCGCCCGATATGTGCGTCCACTGCCGTTACAATGTCCGCTTCAGTACATCTGGCCAACCGATCAAGAACAGATCTTTTCACATTGTGAACCAGCGTTATTTGATGTTGTCTTAACATGTCTTGGGCCAGTCGTGATATGTTTTTATGCACCAATACCACATCTGGTTGTAGAGCGGCTATTCGAGCCACTACGTGCCGAAGGTACTCTTGCTCTTGCATGAGCACCGGTTCCAAAGACATCAATCTGCCTTCAGTTCTTTGATATACTATCGAACACTCTAGCAACAGTATTCTAGGGTTTTCGATATCGACGGCCATGTCCTTATGAGCCACATTTTTACTGCACACTATGCCGTTGACCAAATAGGAATTTTCTTTGCTGCCTCCCGGCAGCTTTTTAATCTGAATGTAGTTGCGAATGTCCAGTGCAATTGCATCGTGGTTTTTGTCTGAAAAATTGACAATTTATCTTCACTACAAAACACTGTAGACAACCGAAAATCGCGACGTTTAGTTATTGGTATTCTTTTTTTTACGCTACCGTTTCAATGAGACTAAACTTCTTCCCGATTTGCTGATAATTGCGATTCCGCTTAAGAGCATTTTTCTTACCGGGTCTGATTACTGAGATGATGTTCCTGACTAAGGGCGTTAAAATACCACTCCATGTAGAGGGCAGGCCTCTTGCTAACAGTAACTGTTTGAGCAAACTGTGCTCGTGTTGTTCATAAGCCTCAGAAAGTAGTTCGTATGCTTCTTTTTCGCCGTTTTCTTCCCGGAGAACAGATGCGTTAAACCATCCTACGAAGGACTGAATAACTATCCCAACATAGAACTCATCTACAGCGTCTGTCTACTGGCTCTTTCTACTTAATAATTGGAGATCAACGATTGATAGAGGGACTTGCAAGCAAGGGCGAATCCAGGGGGGGTCATGGGGGTCATTAACGTTTTACTTCTTTTACCATCTTATGCTTGTCTGCACAAGGAATATTTTCCGCACAAAATCAGTACTTCTCCACTTTCGAAGAAATCAACAACCTTCGTTGCCTAGAAACCGTCCC